TTTTTTTTGCAGATACACCTCTAAATTCACTGCAGAAGAAATCATCTGAAAAAGAAGTATTATGCCAAAAACTTCAGGAACAACTAGATACATTAGAAAAAGAAACCACTTCCAAGCTGTCAGAAATTGATATGTTTAATAAGCAGCTCAAGGTACATTTTGGTTGTAGCCTTTTATTTAAGTATCTAGGATTGTTCATTTAGCAAAATGTTCTTTCCAATTTATTCCATCAACCAATCAAGCCTTGTGTGGTATCTTCTGTTCATGAGATCACATAAAAATGCATTTCGTTGATGATACTCAAATGCTTGCCCATTAAATCTCCAACTTGATTTTAAAAAGAATTACTATCAGCGTTTTGCAGTTTGGCCCATTTACACCAAGATTCACACGTGTACTATTTTTCATATTGTAGGGTTAATACTCAAAGTAACATCCACTAAAATATTGAATGTGAACCTTGGCATAGGGACATAGATGAAAATAAGATTTGCAAATACTGTTTTCCTTAATTAATAAAAGCTTATATATAAAGTGTAATAAAAACAAAAGGCCAGCTGTTTCATTCAATATGTTCATTGTTTGAGATACACCTAAGCAAATTCTTGGTGCAAATGAAGTTAATACTACAACATTCTATTCTCCTTCCATTCAGCTACAGAATGTATGTCACCACAGTGAGAATTGGGAATATGCAGATAAGGGGAAATATGGAGAAAACAAAAAGCTTGAAAAGAGTGAGAAAGCCAAAAATGTGTACAAACTGCAGTTACTAAGCTTACTCTACTCCATGTTCTTTTTATTAGCGGTTAGGTTTTCTACTCAACCTCTTTCCTAAAATAAAAGTGTGCTTTCGAAATAGAGAAGCAAGGGCTTAAGCTACACCTGAAATCTTCCTTACCTGGCATACTTAGTAGTAATGTCTTCTTTTCTTTCTTGCTTTCTGTCATCTCCTCCCAAAAGCCGTGATTGCAGCATGACAGAGAGCATGATTCAAATCTCTTTCAGAGCCAAAGATTATGAATGGAGGACTTGAAATTGTCCTTCAGCTGTCAAATCCTAGGCATCAGATGAGATGAATAAGTTGTTTAGTGACAGTATTCCCTGCTACATTACAACATACTTGTGTTTAAATTATAAAACATATTTAGATACATAAATGCATATTAATTGGAATATGGAGAGCTGGTAAAGCTATGTTTTTTGTTTAAGAGAATCTTGGGAGCGCGGTGATTAGTAATTTCCTATTAACAATATGTGTCTGAAACCTTTCCATGTAGCTGATAGATAACAGAGTATGCCTGTAAATGCAATAAAGGGAAAAGTCAGTGCTGCCATCACTTTCCATTCTTTACTTTCTTGTTTTTTTCCCTTCTCTAAGTGGACAGCATAGGCAGGTGATATGGAAGAAGCAGCTTTCTCTTCTCAGTTACATAACTGAGCACTCTTGTGACTGATTAAGTTTGGAAAATTAGCCTAGCCAACTACATATACAGTCCTTGCTTAATTATTACAATTAGGACGACCAGTTCTATCAGTAAGCAACCAAATCATTAAACAAGTAATCATGTGACTGAAGTAGACTAACCTCACTCCTGCCACAGTTGTTAAATGAGACAACACATGAATGTGACTTGTGATTTTACTGCTTTCCATTGACTCTGCTTTTTGGAATGGTGATCCCATAACTTTGGGATGCTGCAGCAGTCGTAAACACTTGTCTGATGTAAAAGTGACAAAATGGCAATTTTGTGACTGCGGGGATGCTATGAGGGCTGTAAGTGGAAAGACTGATTGTAAAACTACTTTGTCAGCTCAGTTTGAGCTTCGAATGATTATTAAACATGGCAATCATTAAGAAAGGTCTACCTGTGAATCATATATGCTGTAGAACTGGGCAAGTGAAAGGAGATTGTAAAGGAGCAGCTATGTGATCTGTTTCATTAAATGCTATCGTCAAGAGGATTGGACCACAGTTCCTGACCTGTCTGTTCTGTCTATGTCAAGGAGTAGAGCAACAAATATAAAAGTTTTTTTTTTTGATAGACTGCTTCCATGAGGCCAATTCCATTGTAGTGCCTGTTTTCACTGTAGAGCTTACATGCAAATACTGTAGAAAGATGCCCACCCCAATCCTTATAAAATAGCACCACTTCATCTCAAGCAGGAAGCATCAAAGGGATCAACAGTTGAAGGAATGCCCATTTCCCAAACTCTACCCAGTTACGTTTATGCATTCTATGGCATGCTTGACTTATTGTAGAAAATGAGAATAGAAATGGAATGGCATATGCAGCAGAAGAAATGATGGCTGAATAGGAACATTGCAGAGGACAAGAGTTTATTGCTGATCCTATTTGTGAATCATTAATGTTACTAATTTTGGCTATAGAAGACTCTGTCTCAGAATCAGAACTTTGATTGCTAGGTTAATTATTCCAATACCTTGTCATAACCCTTACATTCTCCACCTTCACACCAATCCCAGTGAAAAGTTTAACTGCTTTTTATCTGCCTTATCTTACAGTGTGAGACTATGGATGCTTCTATTCTTCAGTGCCTTTTGTATCTGCTAAGCTGTCTCAACAACCTCTTCCTCTTACTTAAGGTTATTTTCTAATCTTTGGCCTTTTTTTGCTTCTAATAATTTCCATGTTTTCTGTGTGTGCGTGTGTGTGTTTTAAAAAAATAATTTGCATTTCTGTAGCACTTAAAATATTTTCCTATTTGGTGCTCTATTGCAGGAACAGATTTTATTTGCCTTCTGCTTGCTTTTAAACTCTGTCTACTAACTAAATATTTTCAATTGTGGGAAAGGGTAGGAATAATCCTCATGTCACTGCTTTTAAGCAAAATCCTTAAAACTCTCATAGTGTGTGATGGATGGATTACTACTCATTACCAGTTTATCTGAAGCGAAGTCCTATCTGTAATCAAGATTGTTATTATTTTGTCTATTTTAACCATAGAAAAATGGTTGTCTATTATATGCATAACAAAGGAAAAGTATAAGGCCAGAATTCCCAGAATAAGTAAAAAAAAAATACTTTGTGAAAAACAGTCTCTGCTTCTCCCCAGACCAACAAAAATCCACTGATAGATAGATAGATAGAGATAGAGATATGCTTTATTTTGCCTCAAGAACATTGACAGAAACTTTCTTTTTAGGTAGTTACAGAATCAGAGGGTGTTGGATTAAGATCATAAAATCTCAAGACTACATATTCCTGGGAGAAAAACCTTGTGAAATTACAAAGCCCATTACATGTTGACTTGCTCTCCCATGGGTTTTGCTTTTTATAATAAACTAATTGCCAAGTAGACTATCACTAAGGCAAGCTTTATATGTTGAGAGTAAAAAATTTAAGATCTTTGTTCCCTCATGGATTATATCTTTAGACTATTTTCAGAAACCCATTTGATTACCTCTTTGCACCCAAGTTCCATCCCACCACAACAACTGCTGCTGAACATGCTATATATAGGATCATCTTTGTTTGGCTTTTCCATTATAACAATGTGACAATTGCTCTGATAATTTGCATATAGGCTGCCATATATTGCCTTCATCTTTTCCCAGTTTCCCCTTAGATCAAAGAGAAGAAAGCATTTCCAGAGCTGTTGACATGGAAGTGTAACAGTATTGGTCTTTTGTAGCAAAACAATAGTGTGATATGAGATTTTATAAATTATTGCTTCAACACATGCACTGAATATTACTCTGAAAAAGAACAAAGGGAATTATAAAACAGAGAAGTCAAGGAGAATTGAAATGCAGGACATACAACAGTGATAATTGTATTAGCTATGCAACTTTTCTATGTTAATAATTGTTTTATTAAAAACATCTTTCGGTATCTGCTTAAAATCATAGATTATGCAGTTGAACATCATTGTGAATTCTGACTTTCATTTTTCATTATGAAACTGGTCTTTGTGTCACCATTGTTCATAAATAACCCCTTTGAGAACAGTCACAGAGTATCCTGGGACGTACCAATATTCATACTCTATATCTATTCACAGAGTAACTGATCAACTTATTGTTTTTGGAATGTTGCATAGAATTTCTGATAAATAGATTATATAAGAAGATGAACAAATATATGAATTCCTCATATTGTCAATATAATGAGTGAATAAAGTTGGCATTTGCTTCCATCACAGGATTTGTTTCCTGTCCAGTTTGTTTTAAAGTTTTGTGGCTGCTTTCAGAAAATGCATGTTTTTGGTACTCCCTGGCATTTCATTACCCAAACTAGGTAACATCATCAGTGCTAGTGTTTCAATGCTTCACTAGCATTGATGATGTTACCTAGTTTGAGTACAAGATCATTAAGAAGCATCACCTGTCTTTGGGCATGTGAAAAAAATATTATATCCCTCTATTTAGTATCAAAGCACATCCAGAAGGCTCAGGATGATAACTCCATACAACAAGTATAAGATAGGATTGTGCTAGCCTATAGCCCTGTGGAAAGGGTGTCCTGCCTGAGGTGCACTTATTTAGAATGGGATGGGAATTTTGCCAGGCTATATTAAGCCACACAGGTCCTTTTTTTCTTGGGCCATTGGTAATATGAAAAGACACATTTTTGAAAAAGGGGGATCTTACAGTTTCCACTGTTTCTGCAGCAAAGCAGTTTTGGAAGGTGGGGAGCAATCTATCTTTTCCTACATGCATGATGGAGAAAGACTGGCAGGTACATGCTAGATATGCAAGGAATGTTCTTCTGTGTATGTGCAAGCACAATTTTTGAAGACTTGACCTGGCACTTGATTTGGACCAAATACTCCCATTTGAAAGTATTAAGCAATGGAATGAAAGTAAGAGCAAGGGATAAATACAAGGTTGTTTTATTTTGTACAATTCAAAATAACATTCATAATGTGTTTTCTTCCCATTTTGCTCACAACAACCCAGTCAGGTGGATTGGGCTGAGAGACAGACACTGACTCAAAGTCATTCAGCCAGTTTCTGTGCTTAAGGAAGGACTTCTGTGCTTAAGGAAGGTCCCTCCAATGTCTTAGTTTCTAGTCCAGCATCTTAGCCACTATACCAGAGTAACTCTCAGATTTTGTAATTCATCTTGATCATTTAACGGTTGGTTTGACATTTGCTGACAATGTCTAATAGTATAATACAGTTACTTGATAATCATATGGCTGAGAGTGTACTAGAACAGTCCAATATTCTGTACTCAATTTAACAATGGCATTGTTATTCAGTATAAAGGGTGATTGCAACAAAGAGACTTAGCCAGAACTGGCAGAAACATTCAACCCAACTCAAGTAATTGGCACACAACCTTCTAACACTGAATTAAATAAGATTATTTGCAAGGAGTCTCTCATTATTCAGACAGGATGTAACATACCAAAAGATCTTGAGAATCTTTGAGGAGCCTTCTACGCATCAATGTTTTTATGATTCCTTCCAGTAATTCCATCCCCAACTACATATAGTGCTATAGTTTACAATTTATGGGTATTATCGTACGAAGAATATGCAGATACAATAATTATTAAAGTTTTTTTTTCACTCTTTGTTGATGGGGAAGCTTTGTTTGGAAAATTTCCCATCACCATATGGAAAACTACTTAAATATAAATAGAATTAATAGTGGTCTAATTGAATCAGAAAAAAATGGGGATGAGAGATACACCCAACAAAATACATATTGTTAATGAATGTAGTGAGCAAAGTAAATGACCTGGACTGAGATATGCAAGTTCAATGAATAGACAACTATAGGCGATTTCTTGGTCTGGCCTACTTAATGGGGCTGAGTGTGAAACATATTACATAACTAAAGCAAGCCTGATTTGAAGATTAGCAGATTTCAGCAAAGCATGTAACCCAAGTATGAAAGTATTCATTTATTTTTTCTTCACTAATTACTAGAGAAAAGTGAGGGACTGAAAAGAACCATTTGAATAGTTCATTGAAGAACGTGATGGCAGGTCAGAAATGTAGTGGGAAATAGATATGAACAGTTCAGCTACTGATTTCTGTTCAGAGACTTTGTGAGTTATGTTTGTCGTATTGGAAATAATAAAAAAAAACTCAGAATATCAATAACTCTGTCATACATTCATCCTTAGCCCCTTCATTGTATGAGATTGGAAATGAAACATCTATGTCTTGAGGTTTTGGAAATGGGTGCAATCTTTAGATAGCTTAAATGTGTAAATGTCACGAATTACATGTATACTGCAGGGTAAAAACTCTGTAAAGATGATGCTAAGCACCCTCAGTTGATTCAGTAGTACAGTAATCACAACAATCTATATGTTATCCACAAGATGGGCATGTTGACCTTAATAATTAAGGTTAATATAAGGTCTTTGCAGAACATGATTGAATAAAAATAATAATTACTCGATGCCTGTACCAATAAACATGTAGTAAAATGATAAAATAAACATGCAACAGTTTACATATATTCTAATTACCATTTCTTCCCAGATTAAGTAGATCCTTATGTGGTCTTGAAGCTCATACAAGGCTCTATTCATTTTAGTTGGGAGGCTAAGGCGGTGTTCATAGATTTTAGATTATTTATTTTTATTTCACATTTTTGAGCCACCCATCTCTCCCAAAGATGGTCTCCGGGAGTGTACAGTAAAACATTACAGTATATAAAAGTTAAATTTTTAGAAATAAAATTTTAAGTTAAAAAAAAATGAAAAATTATGCAAATTTTAAGGCGGCAAGAATAATTCAAATTTTGAAAATTGGTTGACAAAGGCATAGAGAGGGCACTAACAAATCCCATGACTGTCTGGTCTTCTGGGCTCCCCACGAAAGCCTGCAGAGCCATGTTCTAACTCCTTTTTGGAAGGCCAGGGGGGGCTGCCTCACCTCTGGGAAAGAATATTCCATAGAGTGAGGGCAATATCAGAGAAGGTTCTCTTGCTAGACCTGGAAGGAGGCTGCAACATACCTTCCCTGCCTGATCGGGCAGGATGCCCTGATGTAATGGAATGAAGCCAGTTCTGTAGGTAGCTTGCTCCATGCCATGTAGGGCAGTATAGGTCATAACTAACACCTTGAATTTTTCTCCTCTTCATGTTGCTGTTTGTTATTTAACATTTTTGAATATTTTTTTGTGTGATTCTTTTCAAACGAAGTTCTGAAGTAATCTAGTAGAGAAATAACAAAATATTCATGCCTCAGCAATTGAAAATCGTCTCACAGTTTAGGGATTAGAATAGAATCATACAGTCTCCAAAGTGTCGGCAGGTATCTGTGATATCATGTCAGGTAGACTGAGATGGCCTCTTGCCATGCTGTAGACATCGCTACAAGGCTGTAGCAGGGGTGAAGAAATGTAACTTTTTGCCATCGTCATTATAAAAAAATGGATCTAACTCGTAAATTTGGATATGCACATAATAAGTGATTAGAAAACTATGTTCACGGCAGCAGTTTTTCTGCACATTTGCAAAACCATAAAGAATGACTTTAAATGTTTTTTAAAGGCAATTCAAATGGTATGGAGCAGAGGTGGTATTCAGCAGGTTCTGACCAGTTCTGGAGAACCGGTAGCAGAAATTTTGAGTAGTTTGGAGAACTGGCAAATACCACCTCTCAATGGAGGTTTTACAGTATCCTTCCCCTGCGACACCCACCAAGCCATGCCCACAGAACCAGTAGTAAAAAAAAATTTGAATCCCACCACTGGCCTCAAAAGCAAAAAATAAACTAAAATAATTTTGTCTTGATCTATATGATTGGTTGGAAACTTGCAGGAACATTTGGATTCAGAATATTAAATGGAATCACTTCTCTAAAATCTGCTTGCCTTTTTGCTTACTTAATTTTGTGCTTTCTTAATAGGAGCTAAGAGAAACTTACTGCACACAGCAGAAAGCACTTGAACAGCTCCACAAAATCAAATATGAAAAAATTCAAGAACTGGAAAGAAAAAGAACCGAACTTGCTTTGAAAAAAAGAATAGAAGATGAAACTACACGGTAATGTGTTTAAAGTGTTCCTATTTTTTCCTCTAGCCCCTTCATTTTATTCTTTGTTTCTGATGAATAAGCAACAATTAATGCAGAAACTGCATTTTGAGAGTCCTTATGCATGCTAGCATTTACCACTCTTTACTGATTACATTGTTGTGACAAAATTAAAATCAGGCTTAAGTTTATTTCTAACATTCTGCATCAACATACATGCATTTCAGTGAATAGTATACATTAATATTGCTATAACCAAGACATTGCATCATACAGGTGAACCTAAAACCTTCAAAAGGTGTTAGGTATAACATTGATACCTAACATATGGTTTGGGTGAATAAAT